GATATTCATGAATAGTTCTGTGTACATTATTACTTGTTTTTATTCTTCTCGGCTAATTAAAGCCCAGAAGATTGGGTTGTTTCATTAGAGTAGATTGTTCCACCCCCCTGCTTTCTTTCTTTCTTTCTTTCTTTCTTTCTTTCTTTCTTTCTTTCTTTCTTTCTTTCTTTCTTTTTTTACTAAGTATCCATTTATTGATACACTGAAGAACAAGTTCTAGTCAGAAAGCCCAATGGCTGCAAAGTAGCAATGAATAGAAATAATAGCTCAAGATATCCATAACAGTTGCTAAAATGATAGAAAATATATGTGATTTCTGGTAACAATGTTACAATTTCTACTTGAGCCTATTTTTAATTGGTAACTGAGTGCTAGGTATCTTTGTTATATAAGGTCCTACCCAAAGACCATAATTTTCATAGTTGAAAGACAAAAATAACAAAAAGTATGGAAGATACTTGCAGAGACTCTGACTTTGGTGATGTTTGCCATGTCTGTCATAAATCAAGACTTTTCTGCCTGTTTTCTGGTATCTGTTGAATGATTAGCTGTGGACTTCTGAAATTTGACTCTGTCAGCATAAATATGCTTCTGAATATTAGTTATTACAAAGTTCCCAGTTGTATCTAATGATAAAACTTATTGGTCTTAAATTATATTGATTGCCATTTCTTTAATTTTTTGTAAGTACAAAGGACTTCTAGCTTTTGGGGGACCATATCAGTATTTACTATATACTATAGTATCATTTCCAGGCAAAAATTAGAAAAGCGACCTAGACTGTTGTTAAAAAAAAACCAACATTTGTTGTAAGGTAAAATGTGTTTTGCTTTGGAATACATGAACATTAGAAAATATACACTTAATTGTTGAGTGTGATGAGCATTTATGTAACCCAGGTATTTTTGAACAGAATACTGCAATTACTGCGCTGGGTTATTTTCATAGCTAGTGTTCTATTGCTGTGAAGAGATACCATGACCACAGTAACTCTTATAAAGGAAAACTGTTAACTGGGGGTTGCTTACAATTTCAGATACTTAGGCTATTTTTATCATGGTGGGGAGCATGGTGGCACACAAGCAGACATGGTGATGAAAAGTAGTTGAGAGTTCTACATCTGAATCCACAGGCAGCAGAGAATGAGGGACACTTTTGAAACCTCCAAGTCCACAACTGGTGACACACTTCCTCCAGTGAGGCTGAGGCCACACCTCCTAATCCCTTTTAAGTAGTGCCACTCCCTAATGACCAAGTACTCTAATATATGGTGGCTATTCTTTTTTCGTTTTCTTTTCCATTTTGTTTTGTTTTGCTTTTTAAGGACATGGTTTCTCTGTGTGTAGCCCTGACTGTCCTGGATCACACTCTGTAGACCAGTCAGGGCTCAAACTCACAGAGATCCACCTGCCTCTGCCTCCTGAGTGCGCCACCACTGCTGGGATTTGGGGGCCATTCTTATTCAAACCGCCACCGTTATGAAGGCCTTTATTTGTTTGATGCTGGTGAAAAGCACTGTGTAGGTAAAGTTCTTTGTTAACTGTCTTATTTAAATCCCACAACTCTCCATAGAGGCTCTCCTTTCAGTTCCATCATCCTCATGAGGAAACCAAGGGGCGTAGAAGTCAATTGTCCAAATGCTTGTGCAAATGAAAACTTGTTTGTTTATTTATTTATTATGAATATGACATGTCTGCACGCCAGAAGAGGGCACCATATCTCATTATGGATGGTTGTGAGCCACCATGTGGTTGCTGGGAATTGAACTCAGGACCTCTGGAAGAACAGTCAGTGCTCTTAACCTCTGAGCCATCTCTCCAGCCCCGCAATTGAAAACTTGTAACTGTTACCCAAAGCCTAAATCCTTTCATTAGAAAAAGACTTAAAATTGTACCTTCTTGGGATATGCTACCTAAATTCCCTTTTCTTTTCATTGAGGGCCAGGGATGTGGGGACTCCTCATGGTTCCTGTGCTCTAGGATCCCCTGGTGGGTACAGCACAGTGTAATAATGGTACAGGAGGGGAAGGTGGAGATGAAGAAAGTTCTGGGTGCGTGAATGGTGATTCTGTGATTGCATGCTATCAGTTATTTTCCTTTTGTAGAACCCTGTTGTGGTCAGGGACAGCTGACTCAGTGTTTAAGGTATGTGCACAATAAAGGATCATTTTCACGGCCCAAAGAGAAGAGCTACAAGGCTGGTAGTCTCTCTGTGTCAGAGTTTTGGATGTTCGTTATGTGGTGATGGGGCATTGATGAGCTTTGGCTGGTCAGTTCATGGAAATCGCTGGTTATAGCCAACCTGTGTCTAATACAATTAATTTTAATATGTACTTTGGAGATTGGCCAGCTACATTGGCCAGAATTGTTATAAACTCATATTGACTCATCAGCATGCGTATATACTTCTACAAATTTGAATGTGTTCTGTTATTTCTCTCAAAACATTGGCATTCTCTTTTAATAATCTTACATGTAGTTTGCTCCAAACACACAGCCCTAAAGCTTAGTGTAATAAATTATTATGCAAACAGATATATAAAGTGATCCCCCTTTGGGATAGTCATTGTAACATGATTGTTAGCTTTGTGATTATTTACCCTTCACAACTAGCCAAACAGAAATATTGTCTTTATGCAGTCTGTAGCTAATCAAGAACAAGAGCTAATATACTTCAAGAGTCTTGAGTTTTTAACTTGGTCCAAGATGTCACTATTAAAGTATAAAAATGGTAGACAGAGAAATTTAAAGATAATAAAGGCAGTATTAAAAACAAAAACTAGAATAAAATTAAATAAAAAAATTGGAAGCAAAGAGGCTCCCAGCATTGGATTCTAAAAGGAGAGCACAGAGTCTATATTGGGTTGTCAGCTGAAACAGAAACTCTAGTTTCACAGACTGTGGGAATGTGTGCTCATGAATGCAGTATGTGCAGAGGCCAGAAGAGGGCGCAATATTCCCTGGAGCTGGAGTTGTAGGTGGTTGTGAACAAACAGCCTTGGATCCTGGGAGCTGTGCTTTTAGTCCTTGGGAAGAGCCATGTTTCTAGACCTCTTGCCCTCTTTTTGATTGAGTGACATTATAGGGTGACTGTGGTAATCATCTGGATAGGATTTTAATCTGGTAAAATACACATGTAAGTGACAAGGGTTGTGTAAGGGGATGTTATTAAATATGCTTTGCTGTGAGTAGGGTTTCTGTGAGATTTCTAAAAAAAATTGTAGGGCTCTGTCTAGGAAAAGAGTAAGACCATATATGTGTAAGTTTCTCCTCCAATGTTGTAATTCATTTGCTGAGAATTTTATACAATATTTAGATTATATTCTTCCCTTCTTCCAGTGTCCTCCTCTACCTCCTACCCACCCAACTTCATGTTCTTTCTTTCTCTTAAAAAAAAAAAGAGAAAACAAAGCAACAGCAACAAAAACTAGCAAAGAACCCTGTGGGGTTTAGTTTGTGTTAACCATCTACTCCTGAGCATGAGGCCTGCATGTGGTTGACATACTCAATGTCATCCCATTAAAGAGAACTGACGTTTCCTCTCCAAGCAGCTATCAATTGCAAATAGCTTCTTGGCTACGGCTGGGAGTCTGTGTCCACTTTCCCTCCTCTGTGCTGGGATTTTTTTTTTCTGGCTTGAACATGAACTGTTTTTGTGTGTGCTGTGTAGTCTCTGTGAGTTCCTGTGTGCATCTGTCCAGTTGTGCCTGGAAAGTGCTGTTTCCTGGAGTCATCCACTACCTCTGGCTGGCTCTTACCTCTTTCTTCCCCCTCTTGCACATATATCCCCGAGCCTTGAGGAGAGGGATGTGATAGAGATATCCCACTTAGGGCTGAATACTCCACAGTCTCTCATTTCCTACGTGTTGTTGAGTTGTGGGTCTCTGAATTAATTACGGCTGCAAAATGTAGGGTTGATCTATTGGTCTTAAGGATAATTCATTGCTATTTTAACATTCTTATTAGAAATGTCTATATGCAAAAAGGAATATTGTCTCTCTCTAGGCACCTTTCACAGCAAATGTTAATTGTGCCGGAATTCCTGACTCTGAGCTTGTGAGAAGCTCCGTCCAAACTTTGGGATGGGGGTTGTTTTCCCTGTCCTCTTTCCCATCTCTCCATCCTCTCTCAATTCTACTAGCTGAGGTTGGAGAGAGGGTTGTTTTCTCTTTTTGTGTCCTCTTTTCCATCTCTCTATCCTCTCTCAATTCTACTAAAGCTGAGGTTGGATGAATACCTACTAAGAGACCTACAAATTACGTTTCTTCTCTGAATTCATTCATTTACTTTTTTGGGATCTCTTCCTATGTGCCAGGTGTTGAGAGAGATATATGGCGGCCAAGAAATAGGACTAATATACAAAAGACAGTGTGTCTGGTTGGAAGAAACCACTTGAAACTTTAATCTCTCTGCTTTAAACTCAGAACTCCATGTGTTATGTTCTCTTAAATACTCCAGTGTATAACCATCATGTTTCTTTTTTTATCAGTCTCTGAAAAACCATGGACCATAAACACTATGTGTATAGTATTTTTTTCTCCACCTTCTATCATAGGGGCTAAAATGGAACATGGAGGCTACATTTGATGGAATAATGTTGACTTTAAATTGGAAACAATTCCAGACTGATTTACTGTTTTAAGAAATTAGGAGTTTTTAGAAAGTACCCTAAGAGAATATAATGTCTTTAAATGTGAAGGGATATTATTTATTAATACTGTTGAAAGGTCATGGCACCTAAGATGTATATGGAAGAATAGGGTAACTGTTATTTTTTATGCAGTTATAATTTATAAGTCCTAAGACCCAGGATTTCTAACTTCAGCATTTGTAGAATGACTGCACTCCTCTGCGAATTCCCCTTCTGCTTGCAGAAATCAGATAAGGCTAGGAGAAAGCTGGGGTGCCAAGAACAAGGCGTGCAGATTCAGAGGGGATGCTGGGACCTCGGTGCACTTGGCCTATCAAGTAAGGCCAGCTGTTCATTTGTTTTATGTCCAGGTTTGGAATTCACCCAGTTGCCGGCCGAATGCCTGGTCAGCTTAACGTGCTTCTGGCCGAGGCAGGAGTGCCCTATGATATTGTGCTTGAAATGGATGAGATCAACCATGATTTCCCAGGTAAGCAGTGGAGAGGATGGCACACTTCAGACACCCTTTAAATGTTGTGCATGAAGCGGTACTACATTTAGAATATGAATGTGGCATTAGTGAAGACTGACAAGCTAAGGAATGATGTGCATACAGTAGATACAAGGCCACAATTAGGCAAGTGAAGGTTGCAATAGATTTATCAAAAGTGTTATTAAATTTTACTCTTTTGCAAGAGCTGAAGGATGCTGAAAATCCTGGAGCATAGTGCCCAGGTGAACCTGAAGCCTGGACAGGGTTGGCTTTTGAATCCCGGTGCCTGCTGTCAGTAACTTGTAGCCTTGAACGCCATACATGCCGCGGACTCCTCATTTACGGAAGTGCTTCTGTGGTCCAGTTCTTGGTGTCTGAAATGTTACTATTTCCCAATTGTACCAAGTCTTGAACAGTGAAGTAGCTCGTGTGTTCTGTTTCTCCTTCTCTTCCCCTCCCTCCCTCCTTCCTATTCCCTTCCTTCCTCTCCCCTTCATTTATAAGTACTGGGACTTCAGAAGATAAGGCACTGCACTTTATAGCTGTCATTGTGTAGATGTGGAATGGTAATGATGTTTGGCCAATATCATGTTTGTTAAAATTAGACTAGTTCCCTCTGGCAAGATTCCACTGTAAACTAAAAAGAAAAAAAACCATCCCACTGTTTATTAGAGAAAAAAACAACAACAACAAAATTGTGTGTATGTCTAGATGCACATGGCATTTCTGGAAGCATCCTTAGGTAATTTAAATTATAGTCCTTAAAGAGAGAATTTAGGCCATTTTAATTTTATGCTCCTTTTTAAATTTAACTGTTGTTAAATTATGTGTAAAACCAGCCAGTTCCAGGAATTATGGACACAGCTTTAATACAGTACAGACTTTTAGACATTGTTTTTTTTTTGACATTAGATTACATCTTAATTGGTCATTTTAAGAGTTGAAAATGGATTCAGATCTTATAAAATCATGTGAATAGCAAGATAATTTGGGGACAATAAAAGAATCAAAGTCGGGGTAGGTAGATCCAATGGGAGGGTAAGCGTAAAGCGGGCTTTGGAGGGCATGAAGTGCTGTGCAGGCCCGGCTGCTGGCTTCTGACTTCTGAGGTGGTGACATTTTCTGGTAAAGCTGTGTGTCGTTCCTGGCACAAGTGAGTCTAAGTATTTATTTTTGTTTTTGTTAATACATTACTGTAGTTTGCCTAAGGAGAAGTGTAAGTGCTCCGTCGTTTTATACTTTCTGTCTCTCCTCTGTTTTCAAATACAGACACGGATTTGGTTCTTGTCATCGGAGCTAATGACACTGTGAATTCAGCCGCTCAAGAAGACCCCAACTCCATTATTGCAGGCATGCCAGTCCTTGAGGTCTGGAAGTCTAAGCAGGTACATTTTTAGACTTACCATGCATTCTCATGATCAAACATCACTTGAAGTATATACACACAAAACTTTCTTTGCTTACCTGATGAGAATTAACAAAGCCTTTTAGGAGGCTCAGGCATGCAAGCATAGCTGAGGGCTAGGTCCCTGTGTCCAACTCCCTTCTGTTCTTTGGCCGCCATAGAACCTGAGTGAACGCTGCATCGTGAGTAGAACCAGATGAGATTATGTGGCTGGATTAACAAAATCTGTTGCCACAGCTGAGAAGGGGGCTGTAAGCAATTGGAATGTGTCTGGCCCAATTCCAGATTGAGTCCAGAGAAGCAGATGGCTTCCCTCTGGGACAGTGAGTCAGTATCATCGCCTTCATATACCAAGACGAGCACATTTTTTTTCCAGTTTATTTTTTATGGGGTATTTGTATGCTGTTATGGACTGTCCAACAGAGAGGTGCTTTAAAATCCAAACAATAACATGGCACAAGAAAGGACACTTCGCTCATGCATATGGCTCCTGCACAAAGCTAGCTGCTAGATTTTAGAGAATTTGAAGACTTCTAAATGCTCTTCGATCTACAGCCATGCTTTTATTGTAAGTATTATAGCAGTGCTGTGGCCAGAAGGATTCTTAGCCATTAAAAAGTGTATACTGCTCTCACAGAGGACCAGAGTTCGGTTCCTAACACCCACAATGGGAGGCTCACCACCCCCAGTATTTCCAGCACCTAGCTGTCCAACACTTTCCAGACTGTAAAGTTTGCATTTACATACTCTGCTACATACACATAATTAAACTAAAATAAAATGTAAAGTTAAAGGGGATTATAGTAATATAATGTATATTCCCCATTAATTTTGTTTCTTTTGTTGCAAATACATGAGCTTAAAGTATACTGTTTGAGATGAGTAGACCCAAAATGTCCTTGCTCTTGTATATATGGCTATTATCGTACTAGTAGTCAATATGTGAAATGTAGTAATGTCATATGATGCATGAACACATTTTCACTTCTTCCATTTTTGAGTAGATGGCATGTTCCCGAAGACATGCAGAGGCTTTTAATTTCTTGAGAACCAACTTGATATTGGCAGGATAGCCAAAATCTGTGATAAATATCAGTATGTATATCTATGTTATGTCAGTGTTTCTCTGTCAACCAACCTTCATCTTTGTGCTTGGTTGATGTATTCTAGTCTATTAGCTATATCCTCAAGAGAAATGACTTTATTTTTGCTGTGTTTTTGTCCTAGAACTTTCTGATTTAGTTTATGCTGAAGTGACAGACAAGAATCATGTATGTTAGAATTTGCATGTGGATGCTTGTGCACTAAGTTTGTTTTCTCTATATTATTTGTAGAAAAATGGATGGACTTCATAGTGTTGTTTTTCTAATTAGAAAATGTTATTCATAGACTTTGTAGAGAAAAGCACAAGAATGAAAGAAATCACTCTAATCTTACCACTTAGAGATAAACTTTCAACAAGAACTTCTTCCCTCTAACAGGCATAAGATTAAAAATGAACATTAATATAATGTAAACATACATTTAAAAATAATCTGTACAGAACAATTAATAGTGAGACATGTCTTTTTAACGCTCTAGGAAGAAATCCTGTGTGTTATTGCACAACTGGATTCTATGAGTAATGACTTGTACATTTCACAAAGCTGAAATCGAGTAGTTTGACTGTTCCCACCATAAATACATGATCAGTTGTCCAAGGAGATAGACATGTTTACCTGATTTAAGTATTGAGTGATACCCACATGTATTGAGATACTGCCTATACCCTATAACTGTGCATTTATATTTTCATATATGCCATATAACTAAATAAAAGTAAGGAAATAATATACAATTAAAACAATGACAAAACCAGAAATGGGCAATACTTTGCACCTATCAGGTCCTCTTGAATGGATTCTCTTCTCTCTTTGGTTCTTAGGTCATTGTCATGAAGAGGTCCCTGGGTGTTGGCTATGCCGCAGTGGACAATCCAATCTTCTACAAACCTAACACGGCCATGCTTCTGGGGGATGCCAAGAAGACGTGTGATGCTCTTCAGGCCAAAGTTAGAGAATCCTATCAGAAGTGAATGTTAAAGTTAAGCTGGTGTCTTCAGTTACAGGAACAGAGAAATGAAGCATGAGTGGATGAGCAAAGCTCCCAAGGCCCCAGAGAAGCGCCACAAACCAACAGATTGTCGAGATCTGCAACCCCTGACCCCCAAAAAGAAGCCCCGCAAACCAACAGATTGTCGCGATCTGCAACCCCTGATCCCCAAAAAGAAGCACCGCAAACCAACAGATTGTCAAGATCTGCAACCCCTGATCCCCAAAAAGAAGCCCCACAAACCAACAGATTGTTAAGACCTGCAACCCCTGATCCCCAAAAAGCATTGAAAAGTCTCAACATCTACCTAGTTATAGTTTTTGTCGCTAAAAGGCAAAAATATTTTGTTGACAGTGAAAGAATAGCCTCATTTTAGATGCAACCATATTGGATTTTTAAATTCTCTTTCAGTAGCTAGAAATGAGTTCAGAAGTTGAATGTGTAGGATTTCAGGATGTATTTTGGTCTGAAAAATATTAGACAGTATGAACATTACAGGCACCTGCATTTAGTTTTTTTTTTTCTTCACCAAATGTGACTAATTTGAAACTTTTATCAACTCCCGGCCTGTCCCCTTGCATTTTATCCATAGTCTGAACAATCATACCAAATCTGTTTCAATTTATCAGGCTGTACTTTAGATTCTAGATTCCAAAGATCTATTTTCTCACCTCTATTTTAATACATAAAAGGACTATATAACCTTCCAGAGATGCTGGAAGCAGTCTACTTGATATGATCAGTAAAACGTAACTTAAAAGTAATTAACTATTTTTAAAAACCCCATGGTCAACTGGAGATTACTCCAGTTTCAGTTTATAATGTGATATTGTGTTAACTGCTCTTGAATGGAATGCAGCCATTTGACTAATAAATGAGTTCATCATATTTTCAAAGTGATATAGACTTGTCTCTGATGACAAAGAGCTGAAATTGAATGGTTCTACTCATTATTAATATGGAGGGAAGGCCTAATAGGCTGAATTAATCTCTCCTCATTGTTTAGAAGACCAAATTGTCTTTCAAAACCGTAGTGACTTTTGAGGTCATATGTAATTTGATGATACTCAAAAGTGGTTAGCAGTACTTTTTAGCCATATCTTTAAGAACCAGTAAAAAAATCATGTCTTTTATAGAAGTCTAGATTTTCTTTGCAACTTTACCTTTATTTCAAAAGTGCTTAAAGTGGAGACAAATGTGGTACATTACCTTAATTGTCTCTCTGTGCTCTCCACTTGGTAACTCTCAAAGCAATTGTTAACCCATATGAGGCCTGGGGATATGGCTCAGTTGATAGATTGCTTGCTTTGTGTGCACGAGGCTCTCAGCTCAATCCCTAGTATTGAAAAAACAAAACAAACACAAAATTATTGACACATACAAAACTATCTCTAAATCTGAAGACTATCGATGCAAAATTTGCTTATCTTTACCAAGCTTATCAAGTACTAGATCTGTTGATTTGATGAGCAAGTTGTTTTGCTGTGCCTAGGATAATGGAGGAGTGAATGAAGGAGGGGGAGGATGGGCGGAGAAGGGAGGAGAGGAGGGAGTGGGGGGAGAGATGTTAGAGCAGCAAAGATTCCTTTTAAATGTCAAAGAAATAAATCTGAGATCACTAATAACTTCAGGGTTGGGTTTGTCATAAAAGGTCTATCAGAAAAGATTAAACAATTATCTTTATTCATGCCCCCTTCCTTCTTTTAAAGTACCCATAGGCGTTTCTAGAAAGTAGCAAGTTCATTTTGGAAAAAATATCCAAATAAACAATTTAAGTCTAAAAATAATTGAGGGGGGATTTTGTTTCTTTCCCCAGATACCTTTTGTTGGTGTGTATCTAGAGACAGTTTTGGTTATCAGAACTGGCAGATGCTACTGCCACCCAATTGGTAAAAGGTCAGGGATGCTGTGGAGTGATCATCCTAAATGCACAGGACCCCTTCCTGCACCGTGCGCTGCACAGTATTATCTTCCCAGATGTCTACAGTGCCAAGAATGAGGAACCTTGGTCTGTTCTACTCTGATGTCTTTCTTGTTGGCTTAAATACTACTTACAATATCTAAAGCATAGCAATTTTAGTTTATGGCACATAGTGTTTATATGAAAAAAAAAGGGGTATTTGCCTAACTGAAGGCTGAGGCTTTTGTTTTTCTGAAGCTGGGGCAAAGTAGGAGCTGTAGTTAATCACTGATCATTCGGTTTTCACCCTAATAGGTCAATGGGTAGGGGACCTCTGTTTTCCCTGAGGGACTATTTGAGACACACTGAAGAGCTTTGCTAATATACATCATATATGTTATATATACTATATATGACTCCTTCAGAGGCTGATGAGTCAGGAAAGTGAAATTGAGTCATGGTACACACACCCAGAGCAGTCTCTGTGTTATTACTGGCCATTGATTTCCAGAAGGGAGGGGCAAATCACTTGGTTGAAGGCAACAGTAGCCTGGTTTCTTTTGTATCTGGCATTAGTCCTAAAGACAAGCACTGGGCACTAAGACTGTACTCTCTTGCTGCGATGGCTTTTAGGAAACCTTCCAATGAAGAAAGCAAGTGACTGGGAAACAGGAACAGGCTGCATGCTTGCTCATGCCTGCAATAGCAGCAATTAGGAGACTACACAGTAGGACAGCAAGTTCCAGGCCATTCTGGGATACATAGTCACTAGTCTCAAAAAGTAAAAAAAAAAAAACAAAACCCAAATAAACAATCACAGTAACATTTATTTACTTTTGTTATTTATAATGAGCACACACACACACATACACACACATATGCCTGCCAATCCTTAGCCATCTAGTTGATCCAGTTGGTTATATTTAACTTTATTGCACAAGATATTTAAAAGATTCAGTTAAAAGATTTTCAAGCGTTTAACTCCTTACGTCAGTCCCTCCAAAGGAGTAGTGGCTTATGCTTTCAACTTTAATGCTGGGGAGATAAAGGCAAGAGGATCAGAGGTTGAAGGCCAGGCTCAGCCATCTAGCAAGTTTGAAATGACTACATAGGAGTCTATCTCAAAATCCAAACCAAAGCAACTTCTCAAATAAGAACAAAAATACTTCCAAAAGGGTGATGGTTTGGGGTTATTATTTGTGGTAAACTCTAAAAATCACAAGAACAACTTTTATAAAACCTCGTTTCATTTCTCCATTCCTGAGAAGTCATACAGGTGATAGATATGACTCATTTCATATTATTGTTTACATTATTGTTTTAGTCAGCTCTCTTAGATCTGTTTTGTGGGCTTTAGCAAAATACTTAGGAATGAATACTTTATAAAGAACAAAGGTTATTTGACTCAGGATACTGGTTGGTCAGAAAGTTGAAACAATTTGACCTGGCATCTAACGGCAGAGAAGCACAAAAACTGGCCTTAGCCAGGAGCCCAGATGGGAGGTAGGAAGCTAGCGAATGGGATAAAGCCAGGCTTATGCTCTTATAAGACCCTGTTCTTGAGTAAACGAATCTAACCTTAGGAGACTTGTTACACTCCCTAGAACAGTAGCAATCCATTTCTTAGAGTGGACTTAATTACCCTCACTAGGTATCCATCCTAAAAGGGCTTAGTGGTTCTTGAGACTGAACCTTTGGAAGATAAGTCACACTAACAAGTGTGTGTGTTTATGTGTAATACTGTATTGCCCAATGTATCCTACAATATGTTCCTCTCCAAATAATTGAAATTCTACCATTTATTTGCTTGTCTTATTGACCATCTTTAGTTTTCTCTCATCTGTTTCATTTGGGAATTTGTTTTTAAATTAATCATGCAAATGAAAGTTGTATATTCCTTTACTCGAATACATGTTTATGTCTTAGCATATTTAGACAGTTTCTATATATAGATATGCTATCATTCCATTAATAGAGAAGGACATTAGAATTCTGGGCACTAGGATAGAGAAGACAGGTAGCACTAAAACCTCTATGTAGCAGGTGCCAGAGCTTCAGAGAGTCACAGAATATCAGTAAGCATTTGATACTGACTAGAAAATGAGTCTTCATTCTTCCAATTCCACCCAAGTCATGGCCTTATACTTTATGGTCCAGGGTATTCTCTGATCCAACACAAATGTGGAATATATTATGTTTCAGCTGGCTTTAGGGGTTGTTCAGTTTTTCTGATCCCAGATCTTTTATTCTGTAATTAATAACTCATATATTCATCTAACTTAGAGGCAAATTTTGTATTCCCCAAGGCATAGGCTGCATGAATTAAAGCATTTTAGTACTGGAAAGCTGGGTAGCTTTTAGTATAGTTAAGGAGAGTAGTTCAAGTGTCTAATTTAGAGCTCTTGCCAATTTTTGAGTGCTTTGCTAGCAAATATTGAGTCAGAATATAAGAAATGGTAAGAAATATGAACCCCCTCCACACATGATAATCCCAAACCAAAGTCCTTTACTCTGGTGGTAGCAACTTGCACAACCATACTGCTCATCGGATTCTCAAAAGAAGAGCCAGCTAATTGGCAAGGAGAAAGCAAAACTTTCCTAAGCAAAGCTTTCAAAAATACTAGACCAACCAAGCAGCAAAAAACGGTCTCAAGTGAATTTCAAAGCACTCAAAATTCTCGTTCTTCAGTTTTATCTTTAGGAAATCACTCAAGCTTTTCCCCACTATTTAAACCAGTTTAGCTATTTATACTGGCAACATAGTGATGCATGAGACAGTAACTGAAGTACTGATATGTGAAACTTTTAAATATAAAGTGGCTGAAGAAACTAGATATGATAGGTATTGAATAAAATGGTTATGATAGAGGTAGAAAAATAAGCATGGTGTAATAGGGTTGTTAGAAGAACAGAGCTGGTGGAATGATTATATATGGAAGGGGTTGGCTTATGTCACTCAGGCTGGGGAGTACAAAATGGCCGTCCGTAGGTTGAAGAGGCTGAGAACACGGTAGCTGCTCAGTCCATAAGTCTGGGTGTCTCAGCTATTCCAGCCCAGCGATGAAAGCCTAGAGAATTTCCTGGAAAGCCACAGGTCTTCAGCCCAAATAAAAGTCTGAAGAAGCCCGGTTCTGAAACAAAGGGTAACAGTGCCAGAGTGGCATGTTTTCTATGTAATGAACCACTTTGGGTCATGTTTCCATTTCTAGAGTGTTACCTCTTGATAAAGTAAGCATGAGGACATTTCTATCTAAGTTTATATAAATATCAACACAGGCACATTTAAAACTGTATGGAAGAAAAAGGTTATCTTAGTTAGCTTTAATTGTAATTTGACACAGCCTACTGTCTTATGAGAGGAAAGCCTCACTTGAGGAGTTGCTCACATCCTCGGCACCATCCATAGGCAGGTGGTACAGGACTGTATAAGAACACTAGCTAAACACGATCCTGTAAGCAAAGCTAGAGAGCCAGCCAGCAACCTCCTTCATGGTTACTACCTCCAGATTCCTGCCTTACATTCTTGCCCAACTTCCTTCAGTAATGAACGATGACCTAGAAATATAAACCAAGTAAATCCTTTCCTCCCCTGGGTTGCTTTTGGTCAGAGTGTCTTATTCTCAGCATCAGGAAGGAAATCAAAACAGAAGGATAAAGGCAGTTACTCTGGTTTCACATTCACTTTTGTTCAAGACCCATGATCTGAAGGCTTGTCTTATTTTTCTCTTTGATTCTGGATAGAAAGACTCTGCTCATCTTCTCTTCACATATACACCAGGAAGAATAACTGCTGGTTAACGAATACTTACTCAGTGCTGGTCAACATCTTTTCTTCCTCCTTTGGCTTTCAGTGCATCCTGTCATTGAGATGGCCACAGAACTTCAGATCTGGCTGGTAGTAAAATCCATTTAACCAGTCTCTTGACTACTGCTAAACAAAAATAATTAAATGATGACATTCATGAAAGGGCAGGACCATGCCACACAAAACTATTTAAAAACGTATTTTTAGCCGGGTGTTGGTGGTGCATACCTTTAATCCCAGCACTCGGGAGGCAGAGGCAGGCAGATCTCTGTGACTTTGAGACCAAGCTTGGTCTACTGAGTGAATACCAGGACAGGTTCCAAAACAATACAGAGAAACCCTGTCTCGAAAAACCAAAACAAACAAACAAAAAACAAAAAACAAACCCCAAAAACAAAAGCAAAAACATTTTTAAAATCCAAGTCATATTTTTGGTAAAAGATGTCATCTACCTACAAAGTGATGAGAAAATGTTAATTTTCAGAGTTCTTATTGTTTTCTCTAACTTGAGGAAGGTTATCAGTAATAGAGTCATTATTTGTGCTCTCATCTATTCTTTTGTCAAGAATATGCTACTATATTTAAACTCTTAAAAAACCTTTAAAGGCATAGTGGTATATGCTTTTAATCTCAGCACTTGTGAGGCAGAATCTGGGAGATCTCTGTGAGTTCCAGGCCAGACTGGTTTACAGAGTGAGTTCCAGGAAAGTTGGACTTATATAGTGAGATCTTGTCTTGAAAAAATTCACCTCCAAAAAACTAAAAACAATTTTTTTATTTTTAAATATAGTCATTTTTGTGTGTGATAACATTTCATAAATCTATTTAACTGTGTGTGTGTGTGAGAACACTTCATCTTTAAGAACTGAACCTCTACCTCTCTGGGTTTCATATCATGTGATCCTCCCGGTGACACCTCCTGACTCAACTTGACCTGTATAGTTTTATGGTTAACTATTGCAGCCCAACTTTGTGCGAAAGAGTTTTGACTCTCAATAGTTCACAAACTCAGATGTGCCAAAATAGGGCTTTGTTCTCCTACAACTCAATTTAATTACTCCTTAGAGTCCTGAATATTCACT